GCTGAACCCATTGCTTGATGTCAGAGGACATCCCGGGCCAATAGCAACGCTGCCTGACCAGTTCAGTGGTGCGCTCAATACCTTGGTGCCCATGGTCCTGGTGCAGCTGCCTCAAGGTCTCAGGCTTCAGAGCCTCTGGGAGAACAAGTTGGAGGGCTTCCTCACCTCCACCTGGACGCAAAATACAGCGATAAAGGATGCCATCCTTCTCCACCAGACGATCCCACTGACGCAGCAGAACCATGACTGGTTTGGGGAGCTGATTCCTTTCCTCCGAAGAGGGCAGGGTGTGCCTCCTCCAGTGTACCAAGAAATCCTTGAGGAGGGGGTCAGCCTCCTGCAAAGCACGAATATCCTCCAGGGAGTGAGATGGAAAGGCCCCAATCTCCAACTGAGTAACGGAGGGCAAAACGGCTGGACACTGAGCCTGCCGAAGTGAAGTCGGGACACAAGTCCCAGGCAACACACCCTCGGCCAAGCTGGAGCTCGTCTCATACTGTCGAGAGAGAGCATCAGCATTCCTGTTACTGCGGCCTGAGCGATACTTGATCTCAAAATCGAATGCCGCCAGCTGGGAGGCCCACCTCTGCTCGGTGGCACCCAGCTTAGCTGAAGAGAGGTAACTGAGTGGATTGTTATCGGTGTAAACCACACACTTCTGCCCCAGCAGGTACTCCCGGAACTTCTCGGCCATGGCCCACTTGAGTGCAAGAAACTCCAGCTTCATGGAGCTGTAATTGTCCATATTGCGCTCATGTGGCCGAAGACCTCGACTAGCATAAGCCACTGGCCTAACGACACCTTCTACATCTTGGGAGAGAACTGCACCTAAACCACTGTGGCTGGCGTCAATCTCCAAGATAAATGGGCGCGTAAAGTCAGCATATGCTAGCACAGGTGCAGACACAAGCTTTGCTTTCAGGGCCTCAAAGCTCTCCTCACACTGAGGGGTCCAAATAGCACTCAAACTCTGTCCCGAGCCCTTCTTTGTCTTTGTGCCAGCCGATTTAGCCACCACTTGATGCAGGGGAGCCGCCAATGCGGCAAACCCCTCCACAAAGCGCCGGTAATAGCTGGCGAAACCCAAAAAGGATCGCAACTCTGACACGGAACGAGGACACTGCCATTTGGCTACTGCGTCAACCTTGGCTGGATCGGTCGAGACACCCTCACAGGAGATTACATGGCCCAAGTAGTTAACCTTCTGCTGGAAAAAGGCACACTTTTCTAACTTAGCCTTGAGCCCCTGTTGCTGCAGCCTTGCCATCACCATCTCTAGCCGTTGCAGGTGCTGAGAGACAGACGAGGAGAACACAATGATGTCGTCTAGGTACAGCAGTAATGACTGGCACTGCTGATCCCCGAACATCCTCTGCATTAGGCGCTGAAAGGTACCAGGAGCATTGCACAGCCCGAATGGCATACGATTCCACTCGAACAGGCCAAACGGCGTGCAAAAAGCGGTCTTGGGCTTATCCTGCTCAGAAACTGGCACCTGGTTGTACCCGCTGGCCAGGTCGATGGTAGAAAACCAGCGTGCGCCAGCTAGGGCATCCAGACTTTCCTCGATGCGAGGTAAGGGGAAGGCGTCCTTCCTTGTTTTGCTATTCAGCAAACGATAGTCAACGCACAGCCGGAGGCTTCCATCCTTCTTGCGGACCAACACGATGGGAGAGGCATAAGGGCTGCTACTTTCCCTAATTACCTGGGCCCCCAGTAGCTGGTTGATATGAGCCCTGACAGCCTCATAATCAGAAGGAGGAATTCGCCTGTACCTCTGCCGGACAGGTGCGTCATCGAGTAGCGGTATGTCGTGCGAAATGAGGTTTGTGCAGCCCAAGTCTCCCTCATAAGTGGAGAAAACAGAGCGGTACTTCCGCAAAAGTAACCGTACCTCGTGTTGCTCTGACTCAGCGAGAGCAGACAGGTCAATCGTATCCACCATCTCTTGAGCAGGGCTGCTGGTTGTATGGGAGGAAACGGTAACGGGAAAAGAGTGTTCCTCGCTAACACCGGCAGGGAGGCTAACAACAGTAGCTTTGCTTATCACTCCCAAACGGGTCCGCGGGTGGAGAACAGCTTCCGCTGTCCCTACATTGGTGACTGGGATGTAGGCAACGCCCTTATCCACCTGAACCAAACATGGAGAGGCCAGCAACCCAACTGGCAACCCGGACTCAGAAGGTTCAAAAAGCACAGCCTGACCTGACAACTGCTGAGAACAAGTAGTGGCCACCAGCTGCATAACACCACCAGGTATCCGCACGGCCCGCGGGCCCTGTACCTTAACGGTACCGACAGGGTCCTCTGGGGCTTGGGCTGCAGACTGGTGACACTGATGTAAGGCCTCCAAAACTGGTCTCGGTGCCTGTGACACAGAAGGAGAATTAAACAAGGAGCCACCGAAAGCCCCAAACAGTTCTTGATAACAGCGGCGGATTACGTTCATTCCTAAGATGCCAGGGACAGAGGGCGTAGCCCCAGGAGGGTCCTTCACTATAAGGATTCCACAAGAGGGCATTTCCTTGCCACACAGGAGTACACTGAGCTCCAAATAGCCAATGTAAGGGATGGCAAGCCCATTGGCAGCCCGAAGCTGTAGCCAATGACATGACTGAAGGCGTTCTTGTCCCCAAGGGGCAAAATGTGCCAAAAAGAAACTTTCTGTGATGGTGGAAACCATGGACCCAGTATCCACCAAACAAGGGACAGTTACCCCACTAATAAGCACATCCATCTTTGGACACGATGAAATTAGCCTGCCAATCCTATCTTTCTGTGAGCCAGTGAACTCCCCACCTGAACTGTGACTCTGCAGCTCAGATGGCGTTAGTTTTCCGACTGGGTAGCGGGAAGAGGATTGCCAACTGCGGCATAAGGAGGACCTGAATCAGAACCTGCTCTAGGGCGGCGTGAAGCCCGCTCCCCAGTGCACTCCCTAGCAAAGTGTCCTGGCTGCTGACACCGGCGACAAATCACCGAGCCAGCCCGTGAAGGCCGAACACTTCTTCGGGGGTTCTGTAAAGAAACCACTGTCTCAGTGAGCTGATTTAACTGCTCTTGTTGGCGCTTTAGGAGTTCCTTTAGCTCACGCCACTCGGACTCGGGTGTACCAACAGGAGCGAACCTAGGGCTAGTGTGCACTCCACACTGAAAACCATATGCCGATGGTTGAGAATAGCCACGGTCGCGAACACCGCCTGAAAACCCTTCTCTTTCCCATCTAATTGCTTCCCCGCGCACCTCTAACAAGGTGGCAGTGGGCACACGGCGAACGTATTGTTTAAGCTCTCTGCGGAGACCACTATCAACAACATGTTCTACAAATTGGTCTCGGAGCAGCACCTCTGCGTTACGCATACCATCAGGTGCACTTTGTTTTACTTGCTCCATCAGAGCCATTAGCGCTAAGGAAAACTCCTGCAAAGTCTCTTCCTCCCGTTGTCTCCTCGAAAAGAAAGCCTGCTGCAGAGTGACATAGGACTGCGCATTGCCATACAGTTCCTTTAAAATGGTCAACACCCGAGCAGGATCCCCTCGCTCTAAATTAGGGCGAAATTTGATCTCCTCCCTTGCTTCTCCCTCTAAATGGTCAAAAATAAAGAAAGCTTGATCAGCAACAGACAGGTGCCGGGCACGCATGCATGCTTGAACCTCTTCGACCCATTCAGCTATATTGATGCCTGTTCTACCATTGAACATGGGACATTTACGGTCCCTAGGCACCACCACCAGACGCTCTGTAACGGCGGCCTGGCTACCAACATTTGGTATGCAACCAGCTGGTACGAAAGAGGACGACGCGGCCCCGCCACCAGACTCGAGCACAGCGCCCCCATCCCGGCGCAATTGCTCATTATCTGCCCTTAACTGCGCTACCAAGTCTCTAAGTTGCTGCAATTCTTCCTCCATAATAAATTTTGACCCCAAAAAAGAGAAAATTAAATCAGCAAGGTGCTAAAATCCTATTACTCTTCCTTCTACCTGGATACTGCTGTCTTGTCTATAATCACACTCTAAAACAAATAGAGCCTTCAAACAGGTGAACTAGACTCGTTGCAAAAAAATAAAACAATTTACAAAACCAAACATCTACCTCAAACGTGCATCCTGTCGACAACGCCAAGTATGTGACCAAGTGGTCGGCGGGGTTATGCACAAAATAAATAAACTTGACAACGCCACCTAGGGGAATTACACCCCCAGGAAATATATTTAAGAAAAATAAATAAAAGGAATAAAAGAAGACCGCACAGATTCAAGGATGCACACTGAGGCAGGTTGGCTTCCAATATTAAAACAGTTTTATTTATAGAAATAAATAAAATATTATAAATAATATTTTATAAATAAAATATTAAAAGTCAAGATGTAGCGTCATTATTGACAGTGTCCTACAGTAAAAATAAACAATCGTGGAACTTGGACTTACCAGCAGCCGTGGAACCAAAAGAAAATCACACCAAAGGAATCACTGCAGACCACCCAGTGCTGTACAAAAGAAAGTGTGAAAACGACCCACCACCTGAGGTCCCAGGGCCACTGGCTCGTCCTCCTTCACTGAAATAAAACACAGAAAAGTATGCTAAAAGAATAAAAGGACACTGAGCGTCAGGCTCGCTACAAATCATAAAAAGACAAACACCCTTCAATAACTTTAATAAAAGAAATCACACACACACACACACACACACACACACGCACACACACACACACACGGGAAAGGCTTATTCCCCACGGGTCAAACTACCACTCGTGCTGGTAATAATTATTCTCAGGCGTAGGCCGGTCTGGCTCCCCACCGGCTGAGACCGGCCACCCAGGCGATTTAGAGTCCCAGCACGACACTCGGGCAGAGAATCACTTCAGCCCGATCACAGAAGTGTGGGTACGAGCAACAGTCCAGGGTAAAATAGAACACCAGGCGAACCCAAAAAAGGTAAGCCTACTTAATAAAAACTAGATAAGACAAAACAAGACAAGACAAAACAAGACAAGACAGCAGACTCCACCAAGGAGGAGTTCACAACAGCAACTGAGAAGGCAGTCCACTCTTCCAATTTAGGTTGGACAATTTACCATGGAGAGGTGAGTACAGCAGTGAACCCTGAAACAGATAAGTGTAACCTTAAACTCTTATAGCTATGAATGCTAATAAAAGTAGTTCTAACAGCTTACCCCAGGACCGGAGGCACTATACTCTCATTGGTGGAGATACCACGAACACCTCTCTCCGCAATGGCAGAATTAAACGGACTGCTGCGCTACAACAGGCCGGAAAAGGATATTAACACCAATTCCAGTATTCGGAGGGAATCCAAGGTTAAGCGAGAGCATACCTGTAGCTGTCGTATAATCGGCTCTTGCTGATCAGTCCGTCGCAGTACGCCAGCATTTACGGCTGTATCGTACCAGAAGCTCGGGAGGAATTAATCCAACAAGACATCGGCTTAGCTTTATACAGGCTAGCGCCACCCTGCAATCAATGTGCAGGTGGGTTCCCAATTAACCCGATCACCTGATACAAGGAGCGAGTGCAGTGGAAAGAGAGCGAGGGTGGTAGAGCGAGCGAGAGAGAGAGAGAATGAGAGAAGAAAAACAACGGAAGGCGAGTAGCCCATCTGGCTACATATGGGATAAGGTGGCATCGTTCCCATATGGGAGCAGCCAGTCACTTACTGACTAACACTGCAAAACAGAATTGTTAAAGTATTAATTTTAATTTCAATTCAGGTTAGATTTTTTTTGGTGCGCAACGCAGAATTTCTGTGCGCAGAGACTGTGCCAGCAGTGCGCAGCTTAGAGGGAACATTGCATAGGCCCACTAAAAGTTACAAAATAAGCTACTATCAAATACATTTACTGTAAACACATCAGAAGGTTCTTTATGTGGCAAAAAGTTAGATCTATACAAAATGTTGCAGGGAAACAGAGAAGGAGCCTCGTATAGGTTTGAGTTTTATTCACATCTGTTGTGCAGGTACAAATAGCAGAGTGGAAAACTTTATACTTTGTGTTTGCAAACATTAATTTATGAAGATTAATTAACATGAGTGTAGCACAAAGTAAAGGTGAAAGCAGTATTCTGACATGACAGTGCAATCAAAACACATTTTGCCACAACAATCTGTGAATAATTGTAACAACTGTCACTTTAATATTGGACAGACTAGTTGTGCAGCCCTAACCTGAAATATGCTGTTTGTTCTGAATGAAAAACGTTAGTCTTTGGTAAACATTTTAATCCCATTTATAGATGCAATATGTTATTTCAGTTAAGACTAAATGTTACCACACGTTCCCATCATTAGAGTGCATTTAAAGTGTGGAGAAGTCTGTGAAGGTTCTCAGTCATCCAGGTCATCATAGTCTAAGGAGCTTGGAAAGAAAAGCGTCTGGACTTCTTTGAGTTACTTGAAGACGTTTCACCTCTCATCCGAGAAGCTTCTTCAGTTCTAAGGGTCAAATGGTGGAGAGTCCAAGCTGTATTGAAGAATTTCTAACTTCATGTAGGCTAAACAGCGGCCTAGAATTAGACTCAAAATCCTGCACTTGCCCAAAATAAAGGGGGCATTAATGTGCCAGATTCTACAGAACACCAGAAATAACTGCTAAGATGGGTCCAACACATCTGAGTTCATGCTGGAGGAACTGTGGGACACACTCTGCCAACCACACTCATATATTGTGGCTCTGCCCTAAACTCTGTGTATTCTGGAGGCAGATATTTGATGCTCTCAAAGACATTTTCCAAGGTAAATATTCCACTAAGTCCTACAGTAGCAGTGTTGGGAAGGATTGCAGAACATATTGACTGCAAAGCCAAAAGTTACTTGCTAAATATATGACTCACTGCAGCCCTAAAATGCATAACTATCAGATGGTTAAAACCAGATATAATCTATGGATCCATGTCTGTCTGATGGAACAAATTACATACTCAGACTACAGAAACAAGTCTTTGAGAAACGGTGGGACCCATGTTACCTTTCCTATTACAATGAAGAACACCACCTAATTTTGTGAGCTCTCTCTCTCTACACACACACACACATGTGTGTGCTGGACATTCATGGCTGCTTTGTGTAGTTACAGTTGAATAGAGGAAGTGTAGGATGTATCACTGCTGATTCAAAATAACATGTAAGAGTTTGTGGAATGTTCTTTGTCTGTGTGTCTGTATATAAGATGTAAGGGCGGTGGCCACAATTCAGAGATGGTCCTGGTGTTTCACTGGGAAGCTCTCTCCACATTGTAATGTGTTTATTAAACCCGCTTCAAATCAAGCTCACTGGGTGCAGGTTATTGTTAAATTTTCCTCAACAATTTGGCGTTGTCAGGCTGGATTCCTCAGGTGAGTTTTGCTGAATCACTGGTATGTGGTGACTGGCCATCCTGAGGTAAAACTGCCTCAGTCCCACCGTTCCTTTGTTTTCAAAAAGGGGGAACGGCGGGGTGTGCTTCAGCAACTCACACATGCAGGAATTTTTAAAAGAACCAAGAGAGGCACTGCAGAGGATCTGCATCAGTGAGCTGTTTTGATTTGGGAGGGTTTTATACGGGTGTAATTCATGGTTTGTATCACTGCAGTGAAAACTGATGTTACTGATCACGAGAGAGGAACATATGTTAGTGACAAGTTTCTGTGTTGTGTCCCACCTGTATCTACACAGACCCTGTGGTCTATATCATGAGCACCTACACATTAAACAACTGTAACATTATAATGGCATCAAGCTCACACTGAGGCCTGTGGGGCACTATCAGCCAGTGAGACAACAGACAAATTTCAGTGTTTTAACATATGAATATTAAATACTTAAGGGCTACTTGTTTAAACAATGGAGGTGAACGATACATCATCATTTTACATGATAATATCACAGATGATAGACTAAATGAATAGATTTTAGGTGCTTGTGCATTCTTAAAGTCTGATATGTTGAACTGAACTGAGTGTGTCAGCTGTTCAAAGCCTCTCCCAGTCAGTGCTGTTCTCCATGCCTGTCTTACTGCACATGGTGTTATTAGCACAAACACTTTAAAGGTGAACATTTAGGACTTACTGCAAATGTTACTATGTCAAAGTTTCTGTGACTCAAACAGAGGAAATTTTGATTTTTTTATTTCCACACCTAATTTATTTAAAAGTATTTAATAGCATATAACACCCAAAATATGCTTCGGTTCACATTTAACTCCAGAAAATCATCAATCAAAACATGGATATTACCTGACCACAGATTCGTGGTGATGTCACTGCTCTTTTAACTGTTTGGTGTCTTTGCTTTGTTTGCTGGTTGTAGAAATGGTTTATTTGAGCTTTGAGCTGAGATTCAGAGGTTTCTGTGGACACTGCTCATGTCGGCACTTATATTTCTGACCTTTTCTTATAGCCGATTAAACATGATCTCCTCCCTTTTGCCCCCATTTTTGGTGGTGTAGGCACAAATGATCAGGCATGACATTTTCATAATAAATAAGATACTGCAAATAATTATTTGTGCGATTGAAGTGAATTGAAAATGTGTATGCAATTATACAGTTTTAAAGATTTGGCCTAAATAACGTTGGAGTGAATGAGTCTAAACATGATGACCAAACTAGTGATACCCTGACACACACACACACACACACACACACACACACACACACACACGCACAATGTTATGCCAGTTTCAGCTGAAACTATGTTTCAAACCATATTCTGGGTCTTTAGTTCACCATTTATGAGGTTTCAAGAAGAAAATAAAAGACAGATCTGAATGTTTGAAAATGTAAATATGAGATGAAAAATACTCAAAGGATAAATTTAATTGGTTTATTATTTAGATAAGGTGAAAAAAGTTAAACAAACAAATAAATGAAGAAAAAAGGCAGAGGAGAGAAAACCCCAACAATCCCCTCTGAGCAAGCACTTGGCGACAGTGGGGAGGAAAAACTGCCTTTAAACGGGCAGAAACCTCCGGCAGAACCAGGCTCAGGAGGGACAGTCAACTGCCGGGACTGGTTGGGGGTTTTAAATGGATGATTCCTCATCCATTTAACACATCTTTGGTGGAGTTTAAATGTAAAATGCGCAAAATTCCTCGCAATCGTGACTCCTCACGTCAGCATGCTTGGTTAGACGATCACAAAAAAATGACTCGCAAAGATGTTTTAAATGGATGAGGAATCATCCATTTAAAACATCTTTGGTTGCGTTTAAATGTAAAATGCGCAAAATTCCTCACGATCGTGACTCCTCACGTCAGCAGGCTTGGTTAGACGATCACAAAAAAATGACTCGCAAAGATGTTTTAAATGGATGATTCCTCATCCATTTAAAACATCTTTGGTTGCGTTTAAATGTAAAATGCGCAAAATTCCTCACGATCGTGACTCCTCACGTCAGCAGGCTTGGTTAGACGATCACAAAAAAATGACTCGCAAAGATGTTTTAAATGGATGAGGAATCATCCATTTAAAACATCTTTGGTTGCGTTTAAATGTAAAATGCGCAAAATTCCTCGCGATCGTGACTCCTCACGTCAGCAGGCTTGGTTAGACGATCACAAAAAAATGACTCGCAAAGATGTTTTAAATGGATGAGGAATCATCCATTTAAAACATCTTTGGTGGAGTTTAAATGTAAAATGTGCAAAATTCCTCACGATCGTGACTCCTCACGTCAGCAGGCTTGGTTAGACGATCACAAAAAAATGACTCGCAAAGATGTTTTAAATGGATGATTCCTCATCCATTTAAAACATCTTTGGTTGGGTTTAAATGTAAAATGCGCAAAATTCCTCGCGATCGTGACTCCTCACGTCAGCATGCATGGTTAGACGATCACAAAAAAATGACTCGCAAAGATGTTTTAAATGGATGATTCCTCATCCATTTAAAACATCTTTGGTGGCGTTTAAATGTAAAATGCGCAAAATTCCTCGCGATCGTGACTCCTCACGTCAGCAGGCTTGGTTAGACGATCACAAAAAATGACTCGCAAAGATGTTTTAAATGGATGATTCCTCATCCATTTAAAACATCTTTGGTTGCGTTTAAATGTAAAATGCGCAAAATTCCTCGCGATCGTGACTCCTCACGTCGGCATGCTTGGTTAGACGATCACAAAAAAATGACTCGCAAAGATGTTTTAAATGGATGAGGAATCATCCATTTAAAACATCTTTGGTTGCGTTTAAATGTAAAATGCACAAAATTCCTCGCGATCGTGACTCCTCACGTCAGCAGGCTTGGTTAGACGATCACAAAAAAATGACTCGCAAATGTGTTTAAATGGATGATTCCTCATCCATTTAAACATATTTGGTTGCGTTTAAATGTAAAATGAGCAAAATTCCTCGCGATCGTGACTCCTCACGTCAGCAGGCTTGGTTAGACGATCACAAAAAAATGACTCGCAAAGATGTTTTAAGTGGATGATTCCTCATCCATTTAAAACATCTTTGGTTGCGTTTAAATGTAAAATGCGCAAAATTCCTCGCGATCGTGACTCCTCACGTCAGCATGCTTGGTTAGACGATCACAAAAAAATGACTCGCAAAGATGTTTTAAGTGGATGATTCCTCATCCATTTAAAACATCTTTGGTTGCGTTTAAATG